TGTACAGTATCATTTTAAATAAGGCCATGGTGAGGATATGGAACAGCTAGAACTCCCATACATTGCTGGTAGAAGTGTAAGTTCGTTTTGGAAAACTTTTGGCAGTTTCTAATAAAGCCAAATATAGGCCTACCCTGTGACATATTAATTCCATTGCTTTTTTTTTTAAATTAACATATAATGTTTTATAGGGGCGCCTGGGTGGCTTGCCTTCAGCTCAGGTCATGATCTCACGGTCCTGGGATCAAGCCCCACATCAGGCTCCCTGCTCAGCAGAGTCTGCTTCTCCCTCTCTGACCCTCCTCCCCACTTGTGCACTCTCTCTCTCTCTCTCTCTGTCTCAAATAAATTAAATAAATTAAAAAAAAAAAACATATAATGTATTATTTCAGGGGTACAGGTCTGTGATTCATCAGTCTTATATAATACCTAGTGCTCATTATAACACAAACCCTCCCCAGTGTCCATCACCCTGCTACCCCATACCCCCCACTTTCTTTTTTTAAGATTTTATTTTTTTAAGTAATCTCTACACCCAGTGTGGAGTATCAACTCACAACCCCAAGATTAAGAGTCACATGCTCTTCCAGCTGAGCCATCCATGCAACAACATGGGTGAATCTCACAGACATTAGGTTGAGTGAAAGAAGCCAGGCATAAAATGGTACTGTTGTGATTCCATTTATATTAAGTTCAAGAACAGGCAAAACTAATTTATAGTGATAGAAGTCAATAGTCACCTCTGAAGAGAGGATATTGACTGAGAAGAGAAGGAGGGAACTTTCTAGGATGATGAAAATCTTCATCTGGGTGGTGATACATGGATGTATTGCCTGTGAAAGTTCATTGAGCTCTACATTCAGATTTGGGCATTTTAACACTTCATTGTGTGTTCTTTTATACCCCCATTTTAAAAGAACAAATACAAGGCTATGAAAGATCAGCAGATCCTCTCTGGATATGGCTTCTTAGGGTTTATAGCCTACTAATATCACATGGCCAAGATCCATTTTCAACATTAAAGACAAAAAAATACTTTGTTTCTTTATTAAAAAAGAAAAATTGCTGACTGTATTGCAGGAGTACCATTCTGTCTTTTCTGTAGCCAAATTCAAGAGGTGCATTAGATTGAACACAACCCAAGGAAGTATTGGAAGCAAAGAGTTTTGGGGCACCTGGGCAGCACAGTCAGTTAAGTGTCTGACTCTTGATTTCGGCTTAGATTATGATCTCAGGGTTGTGGAGCCTGCTTGAGAGTTTTTCTCTCTCCCTCTCCCTCTGCTCTCTCTCTTAAAACAAAAAAAAAAAAGGAGAAGAAAAAAGAAAGCAAAGAGTTTTTATTACTTGTCACAAGAAGACAGGGAAATGGCTCTCAAAGTACTGTCTCCTCTTGGGGTTCATGCATGAAACTTTTATTCTGTGTGCTAGGGAACAGGGCCAGGGAGCTTGATACATTAAGGAACTTACACATTCTGTTACCTAGGTATTTGGTTTCAACTGCTCATGCTTAGTATGTCAACATGCTAGTGCATACATTGTATGTTCAAAAAAAATGGTTGGAAAATCTTGCCCTTGGGAGGAGATCTTTATATTATAATGAGCTAGAGGTAACTTTAGGGCAACTCGGGGCTTCTGTGCAGGTCCTCAGCTCCAAACTGGCTCAAACTGGTTCACAGAAGAGGGTATCTGATGGCACACCTAGCCATAGCTTCTTGTTCTGCAAAACAGACACATTCTTTCCTGCCTTCCCCCCTTGCCCCTCCTCCCTTCTGCTGATAGCTTGAAGCTCTCTGATAGGAGTAATTCTCCATTGCATCCTAGCTAAGATTTCTGTTACAGATGTATAACATTTCTACTTTATGTGTTAAAAATACTTTTCTGACTTGGAAAATCTAGGTGAAGGGTAAAGGGAATTCCTTGCACTAGTTTTAACTTTCCTGTAACCCTAAAATTATTTTAAAATGAAAAAGGGTTTGTTTGATTTTTTGGATAGGTGGGAGGGGCTGAGGGAGGGAGAGAGGCAATCTCCGCTGAGCACAGAGCCTGATACGGGGCTTGATCATATGACCCTGAGATCATGACCTGAGCCAAACCAAGAGTATGACACTTAACTGACTGAGCCACCCAGGCACCCCTTGTTTGTTTGTTTGTTAATTTTTTTAATTTAAATTGTTCAGATTGGAACAAATAGCAAATGTACTTTTTTTTTTTTTTTTTTTTTTTTTTATTTGAGAGGGAGAGAGTGAGTGAGAGCATGAGTGCACACGAGGAGGGGGAGGGAGAAGCAGACTCTCCGTTGAGAAGGGAGCCCCACATGGGCCTTGATCCTGGGACAGTGGGATCATGACCTGAGCTAAAGGCAGACACTTAACCATCTGAGCCACCGAGGTGCCCCCACAAATGTACTTCTGAGCATGTCACTATATATGGTTGTAGAAATTGTCTGCATGCAGCATTCACTGGATATTGACTTAACAAGGCACATATTTTCTGCAAATTATTTCAATCACAGAGTATTTAAAATAAAATAACATTTTTGGGTTAAAAAAATAAATTCAATTTAGTTAACATACAGTGTGTTACTAATTTCAGGGGTAGAATTTAGTTGATTCATCAGTTGCATATAACACCCAGTGCACATTACATCAAGTGCTCTCCTTAATGCCCATCACCCAATTACCCCATTCCCCCACCCAGCAACCCTTAGTTTGTTCCCTGTAGTTAAGAGTCTCTTATGGTTTGCCTCCCTCTCTGTTTTTATCTTATTTTATTTTTCCTTCCCTTCCCCTATGTTCATCTGTTTTGTTTCTTAAGTTCCACATATGAGTGAAATCATTTGGTAGTTGTCTTTCTCTGAGTTATTTTGCTTAGCAGAATGCTTTCTAGTTCCATCCACATCATTGCAAATAGCAAGATTTCATTCTTTTTGATGGCTGAGTCATACTCCATTGTGTATACATACCACTTTATCCGTTCATCTGTCCATGGACATCTGGGCTCTTTTCATATTTTGGCTATTGTGGGCATTTCCACTATAAACATTGGGGTGCATGTGCACCTTCGAATCTCTGTTTTTATATCCTTTGGATAAATACATAGTAGTGTTGGGGCATCTGGGTGGCTCAGTCGGTTAAGCATCTGCCTTCAGCTCAGGTCATGATCCCAGGGTCCTGGGATGGAGCCCCACGTTGGGCTCCCCACTTGGCGGGGAGTCTGCTTTTCCCTCTGCCTGCTGCACTGTCTACTTGTGCTCTCTATCTCTCTGTCAAATAAATAAATAAAATCTTAAAAAAAAAAAACATAGTAGTGTAATTGCTGGGTTGTAGGGTATTGACTTATAATGTTATATTAGTTTCAGGTATATTACATAGTGATTGGACAGTTCTGTACACTGCCCAATGCTCACAATAAGTGTAGTTAACTTCTGTCACCATACAAAGTTATTCCAAATTATTGGCTATATTCCCAAACTGGAAGTTTGTACCCCTTAATTCCTTTCACCTGAAAATAAAGGATTTTTTTAAAAAGCTCTTCCAGTTTTCACTTTAGAAACCTTATTTCTGTTTATAATTCTGAGTTTTAAGCAACCAGGTTAGAAACTTTTGGAATACAGTCCATTTACAAATGAGGACTATCTGTACTTTGATTCTTCATATCAATTCACTGTAACTGCTTTTTTCTTTTCCCAATTTTTCTTTTTTTTTTTAAGAAGATTAATTTATTTATTTTGGGGAGGGAGGGGCAAAGAGAGAGGGGGAGAATCTCAAGCAGACTCCCTGCCTCTCAAGGAGCCCAGTGCAGGGCTTGATCCCAGGACCCTGAGACCATGATCTGAGCTGAAATCAAGAGTCAGGTGCTCAACCGACTGAGCCCCCAAGGTGCTCCTCTTCTCCCAACTTTTTTTTTTTTTTAAACATTTATTTTAGAGAGAGAGAGAGCGAGAGAGAGCATGTTCGCACACACAAGCGGGAGGAGCAGAGGGAGAGGGAGAGAAAATCTTAAGCAGATTCCTGCTGAGTGCAGAGGCGTTGGGGCTGATCTCTCGACCATGAGATCATGTGAGCTGAAACCAAGAGTCAGGCACTTAACCGATTGTGCCACCCAGGTGCCCCTTTGCCCAGCTTTTAAAATGTTTTCTGTCTTTTGCCATTGGCATTTTGCATTATTTTCCAGTTTATTTTGGTCTGCATTCCAAAGACAGAATGAACTCTATACTTTCATGAAGTGTATCTTTAAAGGGAATCAAACTAAAAGAATCTCAAGCCCAAGTAAGATATGAAAAAGGCTGATAAGCATTTAGAGGTTTAGGTCAGGGATGGCAAATACCTATCACCTAACATTCTTTCATCCGTTATGTATACTGCTCATTGATCACAGTACTTAAGTCTTTCCTCACACAGTGTTTTAGCTATCTGCTGCCAGTTGGTTAAAGTTGACATGAATCACAAAAAGGCTATTTGACATTTGACATTTCTGATTTGGAGGATCAGTTTTGGGGAGAAATTTCTGGAATATCTGTTTTAATTAATGAACTATTCCATCCACTGTATGAAGTAACATAATCGTAATTTTGGAAGCGCAGTTACCTAAGGAATACCTTAATCATTGTTTCTTTTTTTTTTTTTTTTAAGATTTTATTTATTTATTTCAGAGAGAGAGTACACAAGCTGGGGGAGACAGGCTGAGGGAACAGGAGAAGCAGACTCCCCATAAGTGGGGAGCCCAATGTAGGGCTTGATCTCAGGACCCTGAGATAATAACCTGAGCCGAAGGCGGACACTTAACTGACTAAGCCACCCAGATGCTCTTTAATCATTGTTTCTTGTCACTTAAATTTTTCAGGTGTTTGCGAAGCCAGTTCAATCTATAGAATATTCTTAAAGTACAATGTATTTTTTAAAAAATCCATACACTTTTATGTCACATCTTTAACTTTTAATTGGGTAACATTTTTTATATGTCATTTACTTTTATTCTTGTGTTTTCTTTCCATCTTTAAGGAATGGACATACCCTATGAGACGAGAGATGCAGGTAAGATAACCTTTTTGTTTATTCAAACCAACCCATATTATTATTATTATTATTAAATAACCTAATTTCACAAAGGATTTGAGACCTGTTGGCTCATGATCTGTAAGTTCATTGAGTCTTTTAAAAATCAGCATATTTGAGATTAATCATGGATCTTAAAAAGATAGGAAATGAATTGTTGCCTTTCTTAGATTAATCATGGACATAGTAATATATGTATGTGCTTAATGAATCACTTTGTTTTCCCTTATCTGAAAAATTGGGTACAATATTTTTATTCCTTTGAAAACACTTTGTATTCTGTGTCTGGCTAGTTTAGATAAGTCCAAAAGAGTTGACTATAAAGCAAATCACTCTTGAATAATTGCTCATTTTTGTGTCTGATTTTCAGTCAACTTCCATAATGAAGTCCTCCAGAAGACTGAGTTGAATACTCCCAATATGGAATGATAAAATGTTAACCCTCATAGCAGTTTTTCTTTTCCATTTCTTACCATTTACGTCACTCTGCTAGCCCCAGAATCAAGCAATGTCTCCTGTTCCCGGGAATACCTTGACTTAATAAAAATCTGTTTCTTTTCTCTGTTAGTGAAAATTCTCTTTTTCTAAAAGTATCTGAGTACCTGTGGGGCATTTTACTTGGTGCTATGGGGAATGCAAAGATGAGTAAAATGTAATTTCTGCCCGCAAGAAGCTGGTAGGAGACATCAGACCTATACACAAATAATTACAATTTTCCAAAGAACTGAACTGCAAAATTGCACTATATTAGTATCTAGGATATGATACAGCCCAACTAAAATCTTTCTATATTGAATTCACATAGAATAAATTTTAATCTAGCATTTGGAAGGTATTTATTTAAAATTGTTGAAACTGTCAGTAGGCAAACATTTGATATTGGTCTTTTTTAAATTTTGCAATAATACTTTTATGAACTATAGGTAACAACAGATTTGGCTGAATAAGGTTTTGTGTAATTCCAGAGGGGTAATTTTCTTTATGCCTAATTTATATCTTTTTTTTTTAAGACTTTATTTATTTATTTGACACAGAGAGACACAGCGAGAGAGGGAACACAAGCAGGGGGAGTGGGAGAGGGAGAAGCAGGCTTCCCGCTGAGCAGGGAGCCTGATGTGGGGCTCGATCCCAGGACCCTGGGATCATGACCTGAGCCAGGCAGTTGCTTAACCGACTGAGCCACCCAGGTGCCCCATGCCAAGTTTATTTTTAGACTATAGCAGAGAATATAAGTAAAATTAGAGATGTTTCATTAATATAGGGGCACCTGTATGGCTCAGTCGGTTAAGTGTTGGACTCTTGATTTTGGCTCAGGTCATGATCTCAGGGTCAGGAGACTGAGCCTCTCCGCAGGCTCCATGCTGGGCGTGGAGCCTGCTTGAGATTCTCTCTCCTCCCAATGCCTCTCTACCCCTCTCTTTAAAAAAATAAAAATAAAAAGACAGTCATATAATATGCTAATTTTACCCAAAGTGCTTCTAAAAAGTACTGTGGAAGTTCAGATATCTGACTTTTCAGAACTATATTTAAACTAAATGTCTCATTTGCTATTATAAAGCACATCTGTATTTCTCTTCCCAATCATTTGCTCAGTGTGGCTAGAAAATGTTCCCTAAATTACAAGCGTTTTAGCAAATTATTATAACAATTATGAAAATACTCCACAAATCCACTTATATGGTACATAGTTTGTGTAAATTTAAATTGTTAATGGTAAATATCTCAATTTTTTTTTCCCTAGGAAATTTTACCTGGATTGTTTTTAGGTCCATATTCTTCTGCTATGAAAAGCAAGGTATGAACTTTAGATTAGGTTCATCAAGAGACTATTAACCAGCTTTTTTGGAATAAATTTTTTTAGTAGTAAGAGTTTTATTTGAGGGAAGGTCCACAAATACTGCATGTTACTCTGGAGTACCTACCTCTTTTTAGATTTTACTGGACTAGTGATTGTCAGGTGTGTCACCACAAATCACAAATAAGTGTATTTGACATTTTAGTTAATCATTCCTTATCAAGGGTAAGTGTGTGTGTGTGCATGTGTATGCACGTTTTAATTGATAAAATCTGATTTCTGTTTTTCCAAACTTCAGAGACCTGGATGCTCCAGGCTGTAAAGTGTTATACCATATATATCTGTCTCCTGTATAGTCAAACTGAAATGGATTTCTTTAGTTGACACAGTTAACAGGGTAAATCTCATTTTAATATATGAAGCAATTTTGTTGCCACTTCGTACAGGATTCAGTCCTATGAATTAGGACAGTGCTACTAATTCGCTTTGAATTATAATGTGAAACATACCACATGCTTTCCCCAGTACCCTATTTAGAAGTCAGCATTCTTGTGTATAATATCTATCTACAGTAAGTTCTGTAAAAAAAAAAAAAAAACTGTAGAATTTTTAACTTTAATGTTTTAATTTAATATATTAGTTTTAGATGAGTAGGGAGTTTTTTAAAATTAGAGTCATTTCTTTGAAACTGGAAGGCTTTTTGACTATTGAGGTATACATAAGAGTAAACCTAGTTTTGATGGCCTACAAATAGGTTGGAAAGGGTGGGGTGTTGGTAAAAAAAGAAAAAAAAAAGTACTAAGGAAAAGATAGATAACTATAGACTTAACTGTGACTTACTTAAGATAAAGTCCAAATAATGTAGTATTTGCTGGCCTTCAAAATGGTTTTAGATTATTTGCTTTTTGTATTCCTACAGCATTTTATAAATATACCTATTATAGTATTTGTCACATTAAATTACAAGTATTTCTTTATAGATCTGCTCAAAACCTCTCCCCTCTCAGTTTCACCATGGTCTAATTATTAGACTGAGGAAGAGTTTCTATGACAAAATTTGATTATTTCCCATTCTGAATCACCATAGTACAGCTCATATTCCTTTTCATATCATCATCCAAAAGATATATAATAACAACAAATAATAATAAAAATAAAGAAATCTTAGGGAATAAATGCCTTTTCTAATACTCATTTAGTTAAGCCTACCTTTTATTGCATTCAAATACATTTAAACTGTTTCTTTGTGTATAATTTTTCTGCGGTTTGTAGGTATGAGATTAGGTCATAATTTGCTTCATACAAATGAAAATCCATTGAAAAGTAAAAAATATTCTGTTGCTTTTACATTTGGGTCCTATTTTGTTAAGGTTTGTTTTTTACTCAGTAATAGTCTAATATGCCTTCAAAGCTTGTTAAAGCAGGTTTTCATCCGTAGTTATGTATATCTTCTATGGTTTCTCACACTAATAAAGTAGGTATGAAAACTTCTTTATATATCAAGTATAAACAAAAGAACAGATGTTGAATACATTTTGGAGGTTTAATAAATATGAATATGGAACATTGATTAAATATTACTCCTACCAAATGCTTACCTCCCTTCTAACTCAGGATGCACTCAGGAAATACAAAGATAGTTAAACTCTTATCTAATCTATGCCAGACATAGGAAAATTTGCTGGAAAAAATAACATTTAAAACTTGAAAACGACACTTTCTTAGCTTGGGCTACTATAATAAAACATCATAGACCAATGGCTTCAACAACAGACATTTATTTCTCACAGTTGTAGAGGCTGGGAAATCTGAGATCAGGGTGCCAGCATGGTTAGATTTTGGTGAGGGCCCTCTTCCTGACTTGGAGATAGCAGTGTTCTTGCTGTATCTTTCCATGGCAGAAACAGGAAGCTCAGATAGTTCTTCCTCTTATCAGGGCACTAATTCCATCATGGGGCTTCACCCTCATGACCTCATCTAAATCTGTGTCTAATTAACTCCTACGAAAGGCCCCATCTCCTAATACCACCATCACCTTGGGGATTAGGGCTTCAACATATGAATTTTAGAGAGGCACAAATATTCAGTCCATAACAAATATAAATTATTCTTTGATTTCTCATGGATCATTAGTATTATTGTTATAGACTATTTAATGCAGAAAGTGGGAATTAAATATATAGGAGTATAAACTGAAAGTATCATAGAAAACTCAAGATTATGAATTCTGATTCCTCTTGCCAGGATGATTTTGTTCATTGAATTATTGAACAGTTAATGTGTTCAGGGTACTGTTACACATACTTAATATGAATCAGTGAACAAAATCCTTGTTCTCATGGAATTTACATTCTAACTATTGAAATATATATCATGTCATATACATTATATATTACATGTATATAACATGTACATTATCAAACATCATTATATTCACTGAAACCTATAATCACTTGCAAATAAAAACTTACTTGATAATATCTAGGATTGTCATATTAAATTGCTTTAAATGTAGAGCCAAAAAAGCACCACAGAATATAATATCATTTGGAGTTGCCAGTTTTAACTTTAGAAGAATTTTTAAACTGAAATGTTACTAGTCTGTGAACTGTATAAATTAATTCTGGCTTGTAGTAGAAGAAGTATACTGGGAGAGGCCTGGTGTAGTCCAGAGATCTGGGCCCTGGTACTGCTATTAACTGTGTCAGTGATGTTCAGTAACTGTATATGCCTTAGTAGTCCCTTCTAAAAAATAAAGGCTTTAGTCAGTATACGTGACTACCACTTACTGAACACTTGCCATGTGCTCCAGGCATTGTGCCAAACACCTGACAGGGGTAATTTGTCCAACCACTCAGTGAAAAGGTTAGTATTTCCCCCATTTTCCCATGGGAAAACTGAGCCACAGAGCTGGAATATAGAGCTTGGGCTCTCATGACTCCAAAGCCCGTGCCTTTAAATTAACCACTATCTAGTATTGTTTCTGAAATAAATTATCTTTAAGGTCTCAACAAGCTCTAAAATTATGTAAAATAATCCTGTTAGCCTTTTGAGGATATGTAGTATATATTAATCTTGAATCACTGAAATATCTTGCTGATCACTTCAGGTATTTTATTACAAAATTAGCTTTAATTCCCTGTACTTAAAGTTCAGATATGGTTATGCTAATTGTAGTGTTCAGCCCTATATATTTTCAAACATCTGTGTTACAATAAGATGATGTTTTGTATTTTAAACTATTTCTTTCCCTGTCCCTCTTTTTTTATAGCTACCTATACTGCAGAAATATGGAATAACCCATATAATATGCATAAGACAAAATATTGAAGCAAACTTTGTTAAACCAAACTTTCAACAATTATTTAGGTAAGAATTACTGCTGTGATTAATTAAAATGTTATGGGCAGCAAACATGTAATGTAGTTTATATTTCAATTGATTTTATTATAGCAGTCTTCTGTACATACCTGTTTTTGTGGGTGTGTGTGGTTTTGTTTTTTTTGTTTTCTTTTTCTTCTTGGTGTTTTGTTTTTTTTTTTTTGGTGGGCAGTAAAGCAAAGTTTATGTGATAAGTAAAGTGATGGTACAAAGCTCCCGAAGAGGGAGGGACCCGAGAGGGTTGCCCTGTACATATCTGTTTTATAAGGATGGTTATATAGTATATTACCTAAAAAATAAGTTTCCTTTAAATTTTAAATAAGTAATGCATATAATGCAGAATTTTAAAGATTCAAATGCATGTACAGTATGTATACTGAAGAGGTTCCCTATTTCTATGCCTTAGATACTCAGTTCCCCTCTCTAGAGGCATCCACTCTTACTTTTTGAGAATCTTCCCGGGGTTATATGTTACATATATACAATTTTTTTTTTTTACACTGGCTTTAAAAATGTTAATATATTTTAGAGATTGCTTCATATCCTTACTTAGATGCATTGGTTTTTTAAACTTGCATAGTAATCTGTTGTATGGCTATACTAAAATTTATTCAGCCTGTCACCTATTGGGCATTTTAGGTTGTTTCCAGTCTTTTGCTAATATAGTGGGTATCCCTAAATATGTCATTTAATTCATGTGTGAATATATCAATTGGATAAATTTGTAGAAGTGGAATTGCTGGATCAAAGAATGTGAGCATTTAAAATTTTAATGGATGTTGCAGATTGCCCTCCAGTGAGTTTTGTCAGTTTACATTCCCACTCTGAAGTGAATGACTCAATTTCCTAGAGTAAAAATGATGTCGCGTATAGTTCTAATTTGCCTTTCTCATTATAATGAGTGTGGTTGAGCATTTAATGGTTTTTAATGTTATTTTAACTTTATTTTAAAAATAAAGAATATGTATTACACATGGTACAAGAAAAGGGTAGAAAAAAGGTATATAAATAAAGTAAGTCTCTTTCCTCCTCTAAACCCAGCCATCTAGCTTCCCTCCTGGGAGGCGGCTACTATTAACCCTTAAATATCATTCTAGAGATATTCTCTGTGTATATAAAAGCATGTATGTTAAAAATATTTTAATGCGCTGCTTTATTGTTTGTAAAAATGAAAGCATCCTGAGTGTCCATCAGTATAAGACAACTCCCAAGTATATCGTGAAAATGTATAATAGGATACTGTAACCATGAAAAAGAATGAAATATTTCTAAGTGTGTTGATTGGGAATAATCACTAAGATTTATTAAATTAAAAAAGCAAGGTGTACAAACAAGTGTATACTCTCAGTGTGTTTAAAAATATACACAGTATATTAGGCATATATTCTTGTACATGCATAGAAAATTTCTAGGCTAAAAGACCAGGAATCTGACAGTGGTTGCTTCTGAGAAGGAAATTCAGGGTCTGGGATGCTAGAGGGGCCTATTTTTTATTGCAAATATTTTTATACTGTTAGAATTTTTTACCATGTGTACACATTTTTCAGTTAATAAAAGCTTGTTTTAAAAAAGGAATGTCTATATTCTAAAATAAAATAGATTGAATTTTTTTTTCTAATTGTAAAAGAAATCCTTGGTTTTGGGGTGCCTGGGTTGGCTCAGTCAGTTAAGCATTTGCCTTGGGCTCATGTCGTGATTCCAGGGTCGTAACATCGCAAGCCCTGCGTTGGGCTCCCTGCTCAGCAGGGAGTCTACTTCTCCCTTTCCCTCTGCCCTTGCCCACTGCTCCTTCTCTTTCTTTCTCAAATAGGTAAATAAAATCTTAAAAAAAAAAAATCCTTGTTCTTTATAGATACTTTGGAAAATACAGAATGATGCCAAGAAGAATATAAAATCATCCATAATTCACAACCTAGAGGAAACACTTTAGTTAACATTTTGGCATATTCCTCTAAATCTTAACTGTATTATACATATGTGTATTATGTCTACACACATACAGACTTACATATATTATAGAAAATGCCATGATATTTAAAAATGCCATACTATACATTTCTAATTTGTCTAGAGTTTTTGTTTTTAGTACCAAAATGTCCTGGGTACAGCTTCTTTATCCTAATGGAAGAACCCTTTCTCCTTAGATTTGGAATATTGGATTATAGATTGATAGTTCTGCTAATAGTTTTGTTTCTGTTTTTTTGTTTTTTAAAGATTTTATTTTTAAGTGATCTCTACACTCAGTGTGGGGCTCGAACTTACAACCCTGAGATCAAGAGCTGCAACTCTATGGATTGAGCCAGCCAGATGCCTCTCTGCTAATAGTTTTTTGTTTTGGGGGGGGGGGGGTTCTTTTTGTTTTTTTGTTTTTAAAAGTAGGCTCCACACCCAGCATGGAGCCCAACTCAGGGCTTGAAATCACAACATGAGATCGAGATCTGAGCTGAGATGAAGATTCGTATGCTTAACCGACACTCAGGCACCCTGACTGCTAATAGTTTTTAACATTCAAAATGAAATGCAGTAAAATATTTTAGATTGACTCTGAATTAACTTTTTTTTCTTAAAGCAGTGTTTTATGTAATAGTTCAGTCTACAGAATCACTTTAGGATACAGTCATTGTCTGAATCCTTTTGGTTTTTACATTGGATTATCCTTGGATACTGAGTTTCAGCTTCTCTCTGATAAACTCTGAATTTATTGAAGTTGTTACCACCTAAATGATCGCTTTACTAACTACTTAAATGATCACTAAAGGACTGTCATTTTTAAGGCAATATTGACTTTAAAAATTAATTTTGTAACTTGATTACTATAGGTGTCACCATACAGTACCTCATTAGTTTTTGATGTAGTGTTCCATGATTCATTGTTTGCGTATAACACCCAGTGCTCCGTGCAATACATGCCCTCCTTATGGTGACTAACATAATAAATAAATAAATAAGAAAAAAAAAGAAAAGAAAAAAATAATTACTATAGTTGTACCAATAAACAGGGGCTCTAGGATAGGTTAGGAAGGTTTTCACAAAATAAGCCTAGCATATTAATAATGTCTTGTTATCAGTATTTTCCAAAGTGCAAAATTATAGGACAGGTAGTCTCTTGGTTGATTTTTGCTCTACTGAAGGTTAGTTCAAGCAATGGATGTTTGACTCATTGCTCCGTTAAACTTCCATTTTGATTACCTTCTTCTCTTTCAGACTTTGGGCTTCCTCTGAATTGTCCTCTGTAGCATTGTGAGGAGGGAGCAGAGGGCCACTCAAAGAAGAATCTTCTAGTCCATGGGGAAGTTAGTAGAAATAGAAGAATAACAGTAAAGAATACAGACACTTTTTCTCTTTATATTATAGGTCCACTCTGATCTAGAGGAAAGTTTTCTTCCTTCATGTGATTTTTCAGTTTTAACCAGATAGATTTTTTTTATACAAAGGTGTCAGAAATGTTAACTTATTATTTAAGGCTTTAAATGCTGTGCATTTAAACAATATAAAATCTATGACCCAATTCTTGGGAATATGATACTTTGAAAGTTATTTTGCATTATTTTCATGGTTGTCAAGAACTTTTGAATTTTTTTATACACAGAGTTTTATCTGAAAGTGTGCTTATCACGAAATACTCTATTTTCAGATATTTAGTCTTGGATATTGCAGATAATCCAGTTGAAAATATAATACGTTATTTTCCCATGGTAAGTATCCTGCTTTAATTTCATTTAAATTTTATGATTTGACTTCTTAATTATGGTTCTAAAATTTAATAATAATGAAACTAATTCCTTCCTATGCTGCTTTTACTTTGTTATGACTGAAAACTATGGGATTATATTTTAAAGAATATTTATTTTTAAAACCTTTTTATGATCTCCAAATATCTGAGAAATCACATTTTGAATTTATTAAATTCAAATTAAATTTTAGATCCTGTATAATTTCTAAAATTTGTAATAGGTGCATTTGTAGCATTTTGGAAATTCTTGAATAAAGGCAATTTTTATTAATATAAATAAATAAATTTTTTCAGTATATTTGTTTTACCGTATGTATATTTTATGCTTGTATTAATCCACATGTTTTATTAAAACACTGTCTTTTGCCTTCAGACTAAAGAATTTATTGATGGAAGCTTACAAACTGGAGGTAAATAATATTTTCTTTACTTGCTCAATATTTAGTTTTAGGGGACTCTGTGTTAATGTTTTGTTTTTTGTTTTTTAAAGATTTTATTTATTTATTTGAGAGAGAGAGAATGAGAGAGCAAGCACATGAGAGAGGGGAGGGTCAGAGGGAGAAGCAGACTCCCTGCCGAGCAGGGAACCCGATGCGGGACTCGATCCAGGGACTCCAGGATCATGACCTGAGCCGAAGGCAGTCGCTCAACCAACTGAGCCACCCAGGCGCCCGCAGTTAATGTTTTAGTTAACATTTGTCTTAAATGCAGGATATGGAAGTTGCAATTGTATGTAATAGACTATTCCCAAATTTGTTTTTTCCCAACTCCTTGCTTCATTTGGATAGGCTTTCTTAAATATTCCTATATAACTATTTTCCAGTTTTGGGTCACTTTTAAATCCCTTTAATTTCAAAGTATAAATTGTAAAGATTGAAAGTTAATAAATATCTAAGTGTGGTATGTATAAAATATAAAATGTTTAAGAAAAGATTTATCATACTGTGATATGGTACATGGTTTCAATATATTTTAGTTGCTGAATTAGGTGTTTTTTTGTCAGAATAACTATTTCTTGTTTTTCAGGAAAAGTTCTTGTCCATGGAAATGCAGGAATCTCCAGGAGGTATGAAGTTAGGAGATTATCTTTCTTTCTCTAGCATTTCATTAATGAGTTCTGTTTTCTATTTTTTTCTAAAATTTTTTCCCCCTCTTCAGTGCTGCCTTTGTTATTGCATACATTATGGAAACATTTGGAATGAAGTACAGGTAAGAAAGTACTCTGAAACCTAGTCACAATTTAAATTCTCAGTAAAATGAAGCTTAAAGGAAACAGTTTCGGATTTTAAAGTTGGTAATCCTGATTTTGTCATCTATTCATGTTGATTAGGCAGGCTCTTTATCCCATAATTAGTCTCTTAACCTTTATAGCTTATCTACCTTATATAGATCTACTTGGCTAATATTTTGTGGTTTTAGGGAGCTAGTGCTAAATGTTGTTAAGAAGCCAGGGTACTTACAGTTAGGAAAAATTATGGAAAACTAATTATTTACTGCTAGAGAATTGTTTAGCCCGAGTTTAAAAACTCTTAGACACAGATGTTATTGCTTCCCTTGCTTAAAACGCTAATTTATTATGTTTTCCTTTAACAGTAGTTGGATGAAAAATTAACCTAGAAATTGTTTCAGCTTCTATTCGCAATTCAGTATAGTCTTTATTAACCAGAATCAACTTTTTGAAGCATACTGGATAGATAAAAAAGAGAGAGCCCCAAAACAAAAACCTGGCCAGTGTACAGTGTTTCTTTTTTTTAGTGTGTCTTGCTAGAAGTCTTGTAATCATTGACAACTCCTTGTCTTTCACTCCCTATCTCCCAACCTTACCCATTACCAAATCCTGTCTCTTTTATGTTCTAAAATATACCTTGAATCTGTCTCTTTATCTTTCTCTTCATCATCATTTAATCCCCTAATCCAAGCTCCAGTCACGTCTTTCTTGGACTCTAACAGTGGTAGCCTTGTTAGTGGTTTCATGTATTCTTTACTTCTCCAGTCTGTTTTTTTCCCTCACACTACAGTTGATCTTTTCAAAAGATAAATCTGACCAAATAATCACCTTACCCCAAAAAGCTCTCAGAGGTTTCTGATCCTTAATAATTCTTATCATGGTGAGTAAAACTTTGGTATGCCTGTGTCAACCTGTCCATCATTATACCATGTTCCCTGTTAACTCTCTTCATTTGAGCTGCGTTCAGCATTGGATCCACATTCCTGACACACAGTAGACATTCAAAATCTTTAGTTTGTTTGGTATCCTTTAAGTTTAAATTTTGATGGAAAGGTTGCTTAAAAGTATCAGTTAATATTATTTGAATACAAATGCTTTGTTCGTTGGTAGACTTGTTTTATATATTCTCTATTATTTGGTGTCTTGACAGTAATAATATTAATAGTGAATCTAGGTGCTATTCTAGGCTCTTTATCTCACTTAAGCCTCACAACAACACAAGAAAGTAGATATACTCCTTGTTTAAACAATGATAAAATTTTGAGCACATATTTTGTAATAGATGTTTCACAAGGTGCTTTACATTTACTATCACCCATCTTCATAATAGCCCTCCAAAATAGGAACTATTATAAACTCCAGTTTACACACAAGAAAAATAAAGCTTAGAAAGTTGAGCAGCTTCCCTTAGAACACAACCTGGTAAACAGAGGTATGGTGATCTTTCATCTGCCCATGCTGTTGATTATTCCACTATAGCTTGCTACCTCTCTGTAGCACAAGTTTTATGATTATGATTTCCTGTTCAGGTAAATTTTTAGATAAGTTCCTATTTTAGGTAGATACTAAAAAAATTGAGATTAATTCATGAACGAATACCATCACCTTAGTTTTCTTTTTTTTTTCTTTTCAGAGATGCATTTGCTTATGTTCAAGAAAGAAGATTTTGTATTAATCCTAATGCTGGATTTGTTCATCAACTTCAGGTAACTTCTCTCCTCCTCATGTTTAAAGTAGTCAGAAAGGAGGATAATTAAAATCTTACGTCTATGTAATTTAAGTGTAAAATTTATTTTCTTATTTTTTAAGTTTTATTTAAAGATTTTATTTATTTGAGAGGGAGATAGCAAGAGAGAGCATGAGTGGGGGATGGGGAGAGGGAGAGAAGCAGGCTCCCTGCTGAGCAGGGAGCCCATCACGGGGCTCGATCTCAGGACTCTGAGATCATGACCTGAGCTGAAGGCAGATGCTTAACTGACTGAGCCACCCAGACACCCTAGAATTTATTTTAAATACTTAAAAATTTCCATAATCTAATTTGATTGATTGATTTCATTATTATTTTTTTTTAAGTTTATTTTTATTTATTTATTTTTAAAGATTTATTTATTTGACAGAGAGAGACACAGCGAGAGAGGGCACACAACAAGCAGGGGGAGTGGGAGAGGGAGAAGCAGGCTTCCTGCTGAGCAGGGAGCCTGATGCAGGACTCGATTCCAGGACCCTGGGATCATGACCTGAGCCGAAGGCAGACGCTTAATGACTGAGCCACCCAGGCGCCCCTTTTTAAGTTTATTTTAAGTAATCTCTGCACCCAACATGGGGCTCAAATTCACAACCCTGAGATCAAGAGTTGCATGCTCCTCCAACTGAGCCAGGCAAGTACCTCCTAATTTGATTTTTCTATTCAAATTTACATTTCTAGTTAAAGGTATTTTCCTTTTTGTTTTTTAAGTCTTTTCTTAAAAGCTGCCATTACTGTGAAAAAAGGGCTAAAGGCACCTTGTTAAATGTAAGATAAAATAATTGATGTTAGAAGAGTCCAGGATGGCAGAGGAATAGGGGACCCTAGTTTCATCTCGTCCCAGGAATTCAGCTAGATAGCTATCAGATCATTCTGAACACCTGTGAACTCAACAGGAGATCTAAGAAAGGAATAAAAGAATAGCTGCAACTTAAATAAAAAATCTTTAGGGCGCCTGGGTGGCTCAGTTGGTTGAGCGACTGCCTTCGGCTCGGGTCATGATCCTGGAGTCCCGGGATTCAGTCCCGCATTGGGCTCCCTGCTTGGCGGGGAGTCTGCTTCTCCCTCTGACCCTCCTCCCTCTCATGCTCTGTCTCTCATTCTCTCTCTCTCTCAAATAAATAAATAAAATCTTTAAAAAAAAAAAAATCTTTAAAAGGAGGGGGCGTCTGGGTGGCTCAGTTGGTTAAGCGACTGCCTTTGGCTCAGGTCATGATCCTGGAGTCCTGGGATCGAGTCCCGCATCAGGCTCCCCACTCACAGGGAGTCTACTTCTCCCTCTGACCCTCCCCCCTCTCATGTGCTCTCTCTCTCTCACTCTCTCTCTCTCAAATAAATAAATAAATAATCTTAAAAAAAAAAAAAAAAGAATAGCTGCAACTCTGCACATAGAAAAGTGAGCACTTTCTGCAAGGTTGGAGGTAGGAGAAGTGAATCCAAGACGATATATGGGAAAATAAACCGTGAGGGGAGGGAGCCTCTCTAAGCCAGCTACAGGAAATTGATAGAGCGGCAAAGTGCAAATTCAGGACTTTTAGAAGTCTGCTCCGGTGGGGGGTAGGGGACATCCTAGCCTTAAAGGCACTCAAGGTGGCTAAGCGGGGGTGGAACCCTCGTTGGGACTGTGTGGTCTCAGAATCACAGGAGACCAGGGGTGTCTGAGTGTGGCAGAGTTCCCAGGCATTGGAGCGGGGAAGCTGGCTACAATGAGCCCAGGAGTGGACTCTCAGCTGGGGTGTTGCCATAAACCACAAACTGCGGCACAGTTGGGTGACTGCTTTCCAAGCAGGGGCTCAGCAAGTGGCAGAACCGGCAAGACCCCCCCTTGCTCCCCCAGGAGGAGTGGCGCAATAGCGCACCACAGAAGTCTGCAGAGTTTAGATGCTGGAAACGGGTGGTGGTCTGAGATAGAAATGCTCGGTCACAGGCTGGGTGAACACAGAGTGTAGATGGAGACCAGGGAGACAGGAGTGATTGATGCTTTTCTCTGAGGGCTCATTGAGGAGTGGGGCCCCAAGCTTTTGGTTCTGGGGCCGGAAGTTTGGGAGGATCCCAAAAAACCACCCCAAAATTGCTAGAACTCATACAGGAATTCAGCGAAGTGGCAGGATATAAAATCAGTGCACAGAAATCAGTTGCATTTCTGTACACTAACAATGAGACAGAAGAATGAGAAATTAAGGAGTCGATCCCATTTACAATTGCCCCCAAAACCATGAGATACCTAGGAATAAACCTGACCAAAAAGGCAAAGAATCTGTACTCAGAAAACTGTTGAATACTCGTGAAAGAAATTGAGGAAGACACAAAGAAATGGAAACACGTTCCATGCTCATAGATTGGAAGAACAGATATTGTTAAAATGTCTATGCTACCTAGAGCAGTCTGCACATTCAGTGCAATTCCTATCAAAATACCATCAACTTTTTTCACAGAGCTGGAACAAATAATCCTAAAATTTGTATGGAACCAGAAAAGGCCCCAGATAGCCAAAAGAATGTTGGAAAAAACCAAAGCTGGTGGCATCACAATTCTAGACTGGAAGCTCTATTACAAAGCTGTCATCATCAAGACAGTAGTACGGCACTGGCACAAAACAGACAAATAGATGAATGGAACAGACTAGAGAACCCAGAAATGGACCCTCAACTCTATGGTCAACTGATCTTAAAGCAGGAAAGAATATCCAATGGAAAAAAGACAGTCTGTTCAACAACTGGTGTTGGGAAAATTGGACAGCCACATGCAGAAGAATGAAACTGGACCATTTCCTTACACCATACACAAAAATAGACTCAAAGTGGACGAAAGACCTCAGTGTGAGGCAGGAATTCATCCAAATCCTAGAGGAGAACACAGGCAGCAACCTCTGACCTCAGCCACAGCAACTTCTTGCTAGATACATCTCCAAAGGCAAGGGAAACAAAAGCAAAAATGAACTATTGGGACTTCATCAAGATAAAAAGCTTTTGCACAGCAGAGGAAACAGTTGACAAAACCAAAGACAACTGACAGAATGGGAGAAGGTATTTGCAAATGACTTATCAAATAAAGGGCTAGTATCCAAAATCTATAAAGAACTTAACAAACTCAACACTCAAAAAGAACAAATAATCCAATCAAGAAATGGGCAGAAGACATGAACAGACATTTCTGCAAAGAAGACATCCAAATGGCCAACAGACATACAAAAAAATGCTCAATATCACTCAGCATCAGAGAAATACAGATCAAAACCACAATGAGATACCACCTCACACCAGTCAGAATGGCTAAAATCAACAAGTCAGGAAACGACAGATATGGGCGAGGATGCGGAGAAAGGGGAACCCTCCTGCACTGTTGGTGGGAATGCAAGCTGTTGCAGCCACTCTGGAAAACAGCATGGAGGTTCCTCAAAAAGTTGAAAATAGAGCTACCCTGTGACCCAGCAATTGCACTACTGGGTATTTACCCCAAAGATACAAATGTAGGGATCCAAAGGGGTACATGCACCCCGATGTTTATAGCAGCAATGTCCACAATAGCCAAACTGTGGAAAGAGCCAAGATGTCCATCGACAGATGAATGGATAAAGATGTGGTGTGTATTATATATACAATGGAATATTACACAGCCATCAAAAATTGAAATCTTTCCATTTGCAACAATGTGGCTGGAACTAGAGGGTATTATGCTAAGCGAAATAAGTCCATCAGAGAAAGACAGTAATCATGATCTCACTTATATGTGGAATTTAAGAAACAAATCGGATCATAGGGGAAGAGGGAAAAATAAAACAAGATGAAATCAGGAGGGAGATAAACCATAAGAGACTCTTAATCATAGGAAACAAACTGAGGTTTGCTGGGGTGGGGTGGAGGGAATGGGGTAACTGGGCGATGGACATTAAGGAGGGCATGTGATATAATTAGCACTGGGTATTTTATATAAGACTGATGAATTACTAACCTCTACCTCTTAAACCAGTAATACATTATATGTTAATTGAATTTAAATTTAAAAAATTTTTTTAAATTAAATGAAAATAAAAAGTAAATCAAACAATTGATAGAAATTTCTTCTATTTGATTAAATAGTATCTGATTAAACTAGTTCATTTTTTTCTAAGAAGGAATATCAGAGATTGAAGAATGTCCTCTGGCTGATTCTATCCAGTTATGTATGCGGGAATAAATCTCACATTGAGACATCAAGAGCGTTACAAAATGGATTGTCTCAGGGGCATCTGGGTGGCTCAGTTGGTTAAGCATCTGCCTTTGGCTCAGGTCATGATCTTGGGGTCCTGTGATTGAGCCCCACATCAGGCTCCCTGCTCAGCGGGGAGTCTGCTTCTCCCTCTCCCTCGGTGCACCCCTCTCCCCCCACCCCCACCGGCTACTCATGCTCTCTCTCTCTCAAATAAAATCTTCAAAAAAAAAACTAACAAAATGGACTGTCTCAGTTACCAAACTTTAAATTTTACTTTTTTTTCATTCATTTAAAACAAACTGGTATTTCTTACTCTAGCATGTTTATGTAAAATGTTTCTTTTTATTCTTTTTTTATAAAATACAAAACTAAGTTTCTTTGCCTTTTAATCCTGTTGTGTAAAAACATTGTCTTTTAGAATTTATTTTTGTATTTGTAAAAGTAATATACACATGTTAAAAAATTCAGCAATATATATACAAGTCTAACTGCATAATGTTCCTATATGAATATGTACAAATGTATATATGCATCACAACTTCGTATGATTTCTTATACATAAACGTTTTAGGTTGTTTCTAGCCTTTCATGATTATAAACAATATTGGGAGAAGTATACTGGTAGGTACATCTTTGTTTACATCTGAAATATACCTGTATGATAACATATATATATATATATGGAATTGCTGGGTCAGAGGGATTTGAAATTTGATGTTACCATATAGTCTTTAAAAAGGGTGAAATAATGTAAACCACCAGTGCCAATGCCAATAGCCAAAAGTATTTTATTAGATTTTCTGATCATTGCCATCATGGTGGTAAAAGTGGCAACTCTTGTGGTTTGCCCATTTTTCTATCAGATTGTTGGTCTTTTTCCTCTTTGTTTTATAAGAGCTCTTTTTATATTATTAAGTAATCTGTCTTTAGCCAACTGATTTAAAATGCCATTTTTATTATATACCAAACTCTGATCTATACATGGGTCTATTTCTGGACTTTGTATTCTGTCCCATTGCTCTGCTTAATGCTGCAACTGTATTAAACAGTTTTAAATACAATGTTATTAGATAAATAACTTAAGGTATAGCTTAAGATTTCCTCATTAATATTCTTTCTAGAATTTTCCTGGAAACTTCTTAACATTTACTTTTTGGTGTGAACTTTGCTGGAAAGAGCCCTATATTTTTTTAAGTTACTGCTAAGTTCACAGTTGAAAAAGAATTGACACCTTTATATTTTTAGTCTTCCTAAGAATATATTCCATTTATTCGCATAACTATTTCCTTTAGTGTTTTAAAGTTTTCTTTGTGTAGAACATATGTATTTCTTATGAAATTTACAGTATCCTGTATTCAACATGGTATACTCAGCACCATAGGCAGAATTTTACTACAAGAAGTTATTCCTCCTCCACTTAAAAGCCAGAGGCCTTATTTATTATAATGGCTTATAAATCCCTACATGTGTAGTCCCTTACCTCTCAAGTTATAATCTACAATCCCATCTGCTTACTATGTATGTTCTAGTCACACTGACCTTCTCATAATTCCTTGAAAATACTATGCATGTTCTCATTTCAAGGCACTTGCTCTTATCTCCCCACACCTAGAATGCTTTTCCCCAAATATCTGCATGGCTTGTTTCCTTAATTTTCTTTTGACTACATTATTGCAGTTGCTTTCTAACAAGTATACTTGCTTCTGCCCTTACCCCCAAATCCCTACAAGTCAAAAGAAAATGTTAGTTTGGACCAAAATGGTAGTAGGGGAAGAGGTGAGAAGAGATCACATTTTGGATTTATTTGACTGTATAGCTGACAGGATTTGCTGATGGATTGTATGTGAAGAGTGGAGATTAGGATGATCTAAGCCTTTATGGAAGATATGGAAGAAACTGCACGAAAAGGTTTGAAGGGAGTAAAATCGAGTTCAGTTTTGGTCATCTTAAGGTTGAGAGGGCCGTTGGACAATAGGCAGTTATATAAAGTCCAGAGTTCATGGGAAAGAACCATGTATTTTAGGATTATCAGTATATAGGTGCTATTGAAAGCCCTGAGACTAGGTGAGATCACTAGGGGAGTGCAGATAGAGAATAATATCCAAAACAGATCCTAATGCATTCCAACGTGTAGAGGGTTGGGAGATGAGGAATTAGTAGAAGAGATTGAAAAGAATGGCCACTGACATAGGAAAGAAATCAGGGTGGCTTGTTGTTTGGGAAGTCAAGTGAAGAAAGTGTTTGAAGAAGTAGGGAATGGGGTCACCTGGGTGGCTAATTTGGTTAAGCGCCCAGCTTTTGGTTTCGGTTCAGGTCATGATCTCATGGGTCATGAGATTGAGCCCTACACTCAGTGGGGAGTCTGCTTGAGATTCTCTCCCTCTCCCTGCCCTCTTCTCTTTCTCTCTCTCTCTCTCAAAATAAATACATAAATCTTAAAGTGGGGAATGATTCACTGTATCAAAAGCTGATAATAAGTTAAATAAGATAAAGGCTGAGAATTGACATTAGGTTAGGAACATGAGGTCATTGGTGGCCTTGACAAACAGGTTTTGTGGATGGGGGAGGATAAACATAATTGCTCAGAGTTCAGGAGAAAATGGGAAGAGAGGAATATAAATAGCAAGAATAGATAATTTTAGGAATTATACTTTGAAGGGGAAAACGACAGTAGTTGGAGGGGAAACTAGGGTTATTAAGGAGGATTTTGTTTGTTTTCTAAAATGATAGGAAGTGTAGTATATTTGCAGTTTGAAACAGTCGAGGAAAAAAGAGAAAATTGGTATTATGCCAGAATTAGTATGGTCTGTTCTCTTTGTTGATTCTATTATATTCATTCATTCATTCATTATTTCTGTGGGTTTTTTCTCTCCCATTGAGCTCTAATAGTTTGTATGTCATCTGTTTCATTGTTACATTTCTTCCATGAGTCCTTTTATTTCTTCTTTGAACTCAATTTCAGAAATGCCATACTCATTGGGCACCTGGCTAGCTCAGTTAAGTGTCTGCCTTCGGCTCAGGTCATGATCTCAGGGTCCTGGGATCCCCACATCAGGCTCCCTGCTCAGTGGGGAATCAGCTTCTCTCTCTACCCTTTCCCCCTGCTCGTGCTTTCTCTCACTCACTCAAATAAATAAAACCTTAAAAGAAATGCCATACTCATTGATTTCATGGAGAATTAATCATTTTCATCTGCTTCATGGTGCAGTCTTGGCACTGTTCTTAATGTGACTTTGGGTTATAAAGTTGCTTTTTTCCCCCTTGTGACATCTTTACGCTAAAACTACTACTACTGGAAGTATTCTTGGAACAGCTATTTGCCCAACAATAAAATTGTGGGAGAGGAACCTGGATAGTGGTTGGGGAAGGCAGACAGCTTAAATTTTCCTACTTGTTTTGGAAATCTTTCTCACCACTTTTCTCTGGTGGGTTAACTTGATGAGTAAGAAGCAGAGCCTCTTATGTCACAGGTTTTTCTTGTTTGTGTTGATAAACACAGCATGCACATTAAAACCACCCGGGGGAACCTAACCTAAACCAATTAAATGACAATCACTGGGGGTGAGTCTTGAGCATATATGTATTTTAAAACTCCTCAGGTGATCCTCCGGTATAGCCAGGCTTGAGAATTACTGGTTTCGTTTTTATCTTTAGCTAAGATCAGATACTTGGCTACATACATGTACCCTGCTTCTTGCAAAAACGGCATGTGTGGGCATTCACATTTTCCTTAATATGCCCTACCTCATCCCCACAGCCCACTCATATTTCCTATAATACTGTGTAAGGGCTTGTTAGATTTATCTTAGATCCACCATCTTTTTTTGGAGCACTTTGAAATGTACCCATTCTGCCTAATTTCTGCAATCAGGCATCTTGTATGCCTACCTTGGTCTGGTTCCATTTAAAAATAAATGTAATACACATACAGAAAAGGCATAAGATGTAAATAAACATCCATGTAACCACCATCAGGTCAAGAAATTGAACATATGCCAGGATCACAAAAGCCCTTGTGTTACCCCTTACTAACCACAAACACTCTTTCTCCTTTTGTAAAGGTAACCACTATTCTGACCAATTTGTAATCAGTTCTTTTCATTCTTCTCTTATTCAGGGTTATGGATGTTTCCTACTTTCATCAGATAAGGAGTTCTCTATTTTTTGTTTTCAGAAAGGAGAGAGGGATAGGAATGCCTTTATTCTTCCATCTTTGGAAGTAGAGGACTATTAATTTTTTTTTTTTAAGATTTTATTTATTTATTTGACAGAGACACAGCAAGAGAGGGAACACAAGCAGGGGGAGTGGGAGAGGGAGAAGCAGGCTTCCGTGGAGCAGGGAGCCCGACGTGGGGCTTGATCCCAGAACCCTGGGATCATGACCTGAGCCAAAGGCAGATGCTTAACAACTGAGCCACCCACGCACCCCTAGGACGATTAATTTTAAGGAATTAGAAAACCAAATATATATTTGAATCCTTTAAATGCTTTATATTACTCTCATTTTATTTTCAACTGTATAACATTTTATCTTCATTGAATTTTATTTCATTTTATTCTTACAATTATTTTATGAGCGTTTTGGGTGTGTGTGTGTGTGTGTGTGTGTTAACAGAGGAAATTAGAGATCATATAACTAACACCCCAGCGGCAGAGAACAGATACTGCCTGACTAGCAGTTCAGTGTATGATACCCTAGTGCAAGCTGTTAAACTGACTTGATTTATAGTTTCTTCAATAAATGTGAAAGTATGAGATAGGAATTTTATTTTAGTTTTTAAGAGATAGGAATTTTTAACTTGCATTTCTCCTTTTAAAAAATATTTATTTATTTGAGAGAGAAAGGAGTGAGTGGGGAGAGTGGCAGAGGGGGAAGGAGAGGGACAGGCAGACTCTGTACCGACGCCAGGCTCCATCCCACAACCCTGAGATCATGACCTGAACTGCAACTAAGTCAGCCGCTTAACAGAATGAGCCACCCAACCCAGGTGCCCCTAAACTTGCATTTCTCTTACAACAGTATGGCACCAGATATTTCAGTATAAACTAAGAATACCGATAATATATGCATTAATCACTCTTTTGGTACCCAAGAATCTCAATGTATATTCATGTTAATTAAATATTTTTTAGGAATATGAAGCCATCTACCTAGCAAAATTAACAATACAGATGATGTCACCACTCCAGATAGAAAGGTCATTATCTGTTCATTCTGGACCCACAGGTAAGGATTTTTTGTCATTTTGGAGAAGGTTGGAGAGAAAGATGATGGTATAAAAGGTAGAAAGCATCTTTTGCTCTTTACAAGTTATAGTGAACAATTTAAATTGTTTAGAAAAGTTTGGGTAGACTATTGAATTTCACACAAGATAACTGCAAATTAATTTTATAAAGACTGCATGTATATTACATTGAGCTGCTGCTGTGTGTACACCACTGTACCTGGTTAATAGAATATATTAGCTCAAAGATCAAACTTCTCCTTGGTTTAGTTTAAGTCTTTAAGTAGTATAACTGCTGTAAAGATTAAAATAAGGGATCTGGAGAAGGGGCTCTAAGTATATTCAGGCGATCTTAATAAAAATAAGAGGTGGTTAATAAATAAAAGCATGTTTCAAATTAAGTAGGGTGACCAACGTGAGCCAACCATTTTTCTCTTGTCATCAGTATTTCAATCCCTTCTCCCTTTCTTCCTTATGTCAGAGTACTCCCTCCCCTATTTTCAAAGTTAATGATCCAAGCATGCGTTCAAAATCTTTTAACTTTTATCTTCCTTTTCTAAGACCTGCTACCCTTGTTTGTCTCTTTTTTTTACTGAGTCTCGTTCTATTTCAGGTCCATATTGGCCTCCTATCCAAACTCTTACTTGGTCTGTTCTAAACATTGTGGCCAGATCTATTTTCACAAAAGATAGTTCTGATGTATTTTTTCCTGTACAGAATCCTTCATTGGTTTAATTCCTAGAAGAAGACATAGAGCATCATAGTATAAGTAAGGTGTTTCTGATCTTGGTATCTCGCAGTGTTCCTCTTTATATAGGCACTCCAGAAAACTGAACTAATGGTTTCATTTGTGTTTTTTCTCCACCACGAATGCATAACATTCAGTGTCTCTATCCTTAAAATCTTAGTTTACATGGTTCAAGAGAAATGAAGATTAACTTAATCTTCCTCCAGTCCCTAGTTATTTGAAACTCCTATAGAACTTTATTTGTACCTTCTCACTTTCTGCTTTGCATTAGTTATTTATGTCTCATACCTCTTAGGTACGGCACTTAATCTGAAATTCAGCTATAGCCTGTATTTAGCTTTATGGCTAGCATATTTTCTGCTTCATTCCATTGTCCTGATACTACCTTTATATCCTTATTTTATTAATCTTACAGTGAAATGTTAGTTTCATGTTAGAATCCACTCTAAATTAACATTACCATGATTTAGCACAACCTTTTGGGCATAACTTTAAGCCTGTGCCATTGTTAGGCAGATAACACAGCAGACCCTTTACCAGTTTAATTGTTCCCCTAAAGTTTCCCTCCACTGAGACTCAATTTTTTTTATTATAACTGTTGGTCATGTAGTGATAGCTTTGATTCAGTGTGAGAAATTTCTGTACTAGCAGACTCTGATGTAAAGAGTAGATAAAATCTCCTCTTTATCTCTTGCATACCATCTTTTCTCCCAGCTGTAGACTTCTTGGTAATAAAACCACAGCTTCAGTGGAAAAATATTTTTGGCAGTGTCTGTGAAAGCAAAAAGATAATTATATCTACAAAATAAAATTGTACAAATATAAAATTAATCTCTTAAATTTTATGTTCTAAGTCATAGGTTTATGGTAGCTAAAGAACTTGGTAACCAAACATTTAGGTACCATAATCTCTTTAACAATTCTGTTTTCAAACTGTTTTAAAAGTGATTGTAATACCTAACACATAGTTAATTCTCAAGAGGGGAAATGTATCTTGTTATGAAGATAAAGGTTCGGTTATTTCTATCAAAAGAATTTACTAACATTTTACTAAAAATTCAGTCATGGAATTCTCATAGTGCATATACATAGTAATGCTTTATGAAAATGAAGTTTTACTAGCTCTAACATTCTAACAAATGAGTTTAAGTTCCCATTATGTGTTATATTTGTGCAATAATTTTTAGGCAGTTTGAAGAGAACACATGAAGAAGATGATGATTTTGGAAACATGCAAGTGGCAGCTGCACAGAATGGCTGACTCAAGCAACATTAGAGAGGATGTGAATTTCTATTTGGGAAGAAGAAGATACTAGAGACAATAATAATGTAAAATGGTAAAAACACAAGTCATATATTTTTTTTTTTAATTATATGTTGCTTCCAGGCGTTTCTCTGCAACTTGTTGGGCAACATTTTAAGATGTTGGACTTCTGCAATAGATGGCACTGATGGTTTTACTCCTTTCTTCTTTTTCTTTTCTTTTCTTTTTTTTTTTACACTTTACAGTTTTATTATAAACGAAGAATTTTGGACTTGCAAAGAGGTATTATTGCAATAATGCACTTTTCATACTTGAAATTTATTTGTATGATATAAAGTTATTACTTTAAACAAAATGCAAGTTAGGGGGGATTTGTTTATAAAATCTGGGTAATTTATAACGAGAATTTCCTAAAGTTTGCTAAAAATTCATTTTGTGTTCTATAACATTTTAAAAATAATTTTACAGTTCACTTTTATGATGGAACCTCTTACGGAAACATTAACAAATGCAGGAATCTGCCACATTTCTGTTTTAGTAGCTTCATTACCCTTTTATTTTTTTAAACTTAATACCTTATTATCTTTGAATCATAACATAAGCTAATTCTTCTTACTTTAACATGATCCAAGTATTGCTTCCATTCCTGTTATCTTCCTAATTTGTTTATTCTATAGAAAAAAAAGTTTAATGAACAAAAGGAAGATATTTTGCTTGGTAATACCAGATACTAAAAACAAGAAGTTTTAGACTTTTGAGTCACTTTCCTTTTTTCTTCAAAAGCCAAATGTTGTGTTTGTTCTTTTTAGAGTTTGTTTAGCCCATTTTTTCTTTGTCCAAAATAGTTCTAAGTAGAATAACCAGTGTAGCACTATTTTTTTCTAAATGAAGCCCAAAAAAGAAAAGTGCCTTGCATCAATAAAAAAATTAAAAAATAAATCTCACGACCTTTAAATTAGTATGTAGAACAGTACAAAGTTTTAAACATTTTTCTGTAATTTTTCTTTTTAACTATAAATTAGTTAAAACAGTCTGAGGCTTAAAGAAACCTCAGTAAATTATTTGGAATATGGAACATTTACTCCTTCATTTTATGTTGTCTTAATGATTCTGTGAGGTTGTTCTGGCTCAGCAGCTTTTCTTTGAAGATGCATTTATTGGGGAAAGTGGTTTGTGGGAAACTTCACTGTATTTAAAATTAAGTGTTTTAATTCTTTACATTGAGTTAATCCAAATTTCCCCCATAATTTGCATTAGCAAAGTCACTTTATGGATCCTTAATTCTCCATATTTTTATTTATAAAGATTGTTCTAAGAAAAACATTTTTGCTATTTTAAGTATGCCATGAGGAAGGAGAGGAGTGTTTTTAACTTTTTGTAGTTGATTTAGGGTAGCACAAACAAAACTCGTTTATATCTCACTTTTCTCAGTCCTCTCTCGAGGTGCTTTACTGATGGGAATGATTTCCATACGTTCCCTTGGTACCAGTAGGTACTATGCAAGATAACCCATTACACCAAGTTACTTCTTTGCTTTCTTGCCTGCATTGTAAGATAATACAGTAAGTGCTTTTTTTTATCCAGCATAACAGGAGAGTGGAAATTAAAATTGCTTTATTAATTAAGAGTTAATTCCTGTTGACCCAGATGGTATTCCTCTTCTGATCCCTTCACCTATTTACTACCCTGAAAACAGCCTATTAATCTCATTGTGGTCTTGTATTCTGTTGTGTGATTAGGTCATTTGGTGTGGTAGTCTATAGTAGAGTCAAGATTTGCATTGTGTTCAGAAATTCCACTTGGCAGGTAACACAGCTTTCCTGTATTTGGATCACTACATAGGTCAGCAGAGATCTCTCTTGCAGTCTAATAATCTATGATGCTTCTTCGTTCGGCAGAAACGCTGCTTAAAAGAATCTTCATTATAGTACATTTAGGTTTTAAAATGAGGGAGTTAAGATTTTTAAAATTAGTTTCTTAAATACACATATCCTCTCTAGTAGTTAGGCCAAAAATACAGATTTGGTCATTTACTAATTTAAAGCTGGTAATTTTCCACTTTTTCTAACCACTGTAATTTTTATGTTGTCACTAAAGTGCCTGCCCAGCACTGTATATTAAAGACTGTCTCTTGAACACTAGGAAAAGGGACTATCATCTTCTTGAGTACAGTACTAATGGGGACAAAACATGAAGTTTATTTTTTCTTTCATGTACAAACACCCCGTTTGTTTTACCTTGGATCCATTCTTCGACCTAATGTTCAACCACTTCTGGTAGTTCTTCTAGTCTTTCTTCTGTTTGGTTCCATTTTTGGAATTCCTTTATTTCTACGGATGTTTTGTGATAGTTACCTATAATACATTTAACCAATCATGATTTATTTTCTGAATTTGAATAATGTATGAGTGATACAGCATCCAATTTTAAATATGTAATCTGGGCAAGGATTTAAACTGAAATTGCAGCAAAACAGGAAAACTGCTTTACTGTCCCACTTTAAAAGTATGAAACAAATATTGAAAATATTCAAACTGGAATGGCAGTATTACCTTCTAATTTTAATTAGTTCATGTTAATTTCTTATCCATTGGGTGCTTGTTAAACAGCGGTTAAACCTTTATTTGTCTCTGGTGGAAATGTTAAACCGGGATAGCTTTTGCTACCAACTCTCAACTGTTTAACTTTTAAAGCGGAATATTTGTTTTGTGGGGGGAGTTTGTGCTTCATCTGAGTTTAGAAGTAATGTCAGAAAATGTTAAGCATGTCCTTTTTAAGAAAATATAAGGTTTCTAATTGTCTTATTACCATGGTAATTCAAGTGAATTAGAAGTATTTAACTGCAATCTTGAATTATAAAGTTGGGGTGCATATATATATGTATGTGTGTGTGTGTGTATACACACACACACACATCGGGATCTCAACTTGATGTAAAGTAAATGAGCAGTTACCTGGCGGATTTTTTTTTAATAACTGGCTTAATCCATAATTCCATAACAAACTTAGCTTCACTTCAGTATTTACTTCATCTTTGTCCATTCAACAATGCTCCAATATGGAAATGATAGGAAATAGCTGAGAATTACTAAAGGATTTTATTTTAATTGATTAGATTAGAAAGTTTCTAGGATCTTTGAATGCTGGATTTTTTTTTGTCTTACCCATCCATGGCAGCTAAAAAAAAAAAAAATCAAAATATTCAGGTTTACATGTTAGCTCTCTCATAGGGAGTTGCCATACCTCACAGTTCAAAGTGTATTCTATAGATCAGTAACATTATACTGACATGTAATTGCAATTTACTATGCAGCAAAATGATTCAAGAAAAATAACCTACAATGTCTATTTACCTTTGTATAGGCAATTGCTTAAGTTACTCTGCTTTTAACATTTGTACTTGGATAAAATGCTTATGTATGTATAGGAATGTCACAGTGCAAGATGCTGCTAGCCCAGGCACAAAGTATTAAAATTATTTTGTGAAGACTGGTGGTTGTATTAAAACTGTTGTGCCATTATACCTCAAAAAGATTGAAATGCTCATTTATACTGTTTATGCCTCAGAACTTTAGATTATTGTCTTTTAGATAAAAGTAACCCAGGATGAATGAACAGTGGACGTTGAGAAGCACTTAAGAGTATTTTCCAAAACTCTGTGGTCACACACACAAAAATAATATGATCAGTAATCCAGACAAGGCCTGAATTTTAGCTCAAGAATATTTCTGAGATTAGTTGAACATATTTGGAGTTGGAAGTGAGGGAATTCGTGTCTGAAGGAAAGGGTATATAGGTCATCCACAGAACAGCTTCTAGCCCATTAAAAAAAAAAACTTCTTGCTTTGACAGTACCATCTTCCCTGTCAGCCTACCTACATACTATTTTTCATCAAATCCAAGATGCTATCACCACACTGTTATTTTACATACCACTAAAAGGGAAAATATTGTTGAATAAATTGTGGCAAGCCACTGATCATAAAATGCATCCTGATTCCTAAAATGTTACTGGAAAAATAAGTGCATCTTAGAGTCAGGGAAATACAAATAAACAAAATATGTGAGGCATGATAAAAATCATAGCTGTCACTTCATTCTACCTTTTCAAAAACAAATGCTTTAAAATGTGAATATATAGTTTATATATTATGAAATGTTTTATGCAGCTTTTTTTGTACTCAAGTTTACTCATTATGGCTTAGAAAATTTTAAACATACTCTGGCTAACTAAAGCTAAATATAGATCACCATTTTGCTCAATGACACAATTTTTATTACTGTACTTTATAACTCTATTTCCTGTAGGAAGGACTTAAGAGAAGACCTTAAGGACACTAAAGAGATTTATTTAAATACTAACCTTGTAGACAGTTTTACTTCAAATTGTTCAGAAATGAGAAAGATAAAGCATTTAATTTTGCCTTCTGTTACGCTTTTTTAACATGGGTTTTAATTACTAGAATGTACCTAATAAAGCTACTGTCATGCTACAGTTGTAGGACTCCTGAAATGGCAAAACTGGCTGAAAAGGCAAAAAGCAGGTTTGTTGCTTTCACTAGAGACAGATCACTTCATATGCATAGGTTGTTAGCAGGTAAGTAGTGAACCCTCTACTGGTGAAGGCTTTTTGTTGTTTTAGAAAGCCAACTGTAGCTTACTGCAAGGAGAAATCCTAAATCCAGTTGAGGTAGGTGTGAATCAGGGATAAAAAGTGGTTGGTCTTTATCTTCCCAGTTAATTTTACAAAGCGTACACAAAACTGAAATCTTATGAACCAGGATGTGACCTAAGAGTTCAATTGAGAACTCAAGAAAAACAAAGACATTAGAATTCTAACAAAAGACTTCATCGTATGAACAGGTTTAATGTAACATGGAATGCAAAAGATCAGAACAATTAATAAAATATTGAATCCTTCAACTTGAAAAAATAATTAAAATAAATAAAATCAAAACAAGATAGTGACCAGAATAATAGTACCATGACAATCACAGTAAATAGAAAAGCTTCCATCAGCATTTTAAGGATGTAACAAATGCAGTATGATACATATTTAAATATTCCACTCAGTTTTGTCATTTATTTTTCATAAAAATGTTACTCAGAAGAAAGGCTTCAGACATCGATGATGAGAAATCAGGTTAGAAATACGTAATGTACCAAGATTTGTTAATTCACTGTTAAAAAGTACCTTATATTTGCTCTTAGGTATTTTAAACAAATGAGT